GTAATTTTTATCACATTTTCGTTAATCGATTTTGCAAATGTTTAAAACATAAGGTATTCTTTTTGGTAACTTGAACTTGCAAAAATGTCTACCTGTACTTAAAACGTCTTAGGTTCTGTATTTTTTTTTTATGAAATAAGCCGGCAAACGAGCGTACGGATCATCTGATGGTGAGCAATCGGCGCCGCCCATGGACATCTGAAACATCAGAAGTGTTACGAGTGTTTTTTTTAAGGGGGGAAAATCATCGAATGACTGCTCCCGCCTGGGTGAGGCGGGAGGGAGTGTCAGACTCTTACTGACTACAAACCACCCCGTTCCTTCTCCTGCACGTCGAGCCGGAGCCCCGGTTACCCGTTAGGTTCTCCGCGACAAGGTGTTACGAGTGTTGGGATTAGGATTTTGAGGATTATTGGGGATTCGGGGATTGGTAGCATTGTTTCACGTCGGTTTTCTGTGTGGACTCTCACACCGGTCACCTATCACTCCGGTCGAGCCGGCCCATTCTTGCCGAAGCTTGCCTCTCTCAATCTTGAATATGCGTATTCCAAGATATAAAACACCTGTACAATTTTGTTACAGTTCTACCCAGATACGTACGACAATCGCACCGGTAGTCTCGTGCCATTCTCTCTGCGATTATTAGTCGCAGAGCTGCCGGCCCATGTCGGGAAACCAGATGAAGCTGTCGACAGACTGTATGCTATGTTGGATGTTATACAAACGGTAAGTACGAAGTAATAAATTTTATAATGGACTATTTCCAGCAATAAAAAATCCTAAAAGTTCAAATATGTTTTCCAGTATTAAAACGATTTTTTTTCTAATAGTAGGTATATGACTGCCTCGTTGGCCGAGTGGTTGCAAGTATAAATTATGTATAACGTATTTATGTATATTTTTCTAGATGCTATCAAACCTCCGTGAAGGTAAGACAGAAGATGGATCAGCGACGATAACGGAGCAGGATAAAACCGAGTCCATTCGTCTATGGATGGGCAGGGAGACGAGAGTCATGCACTCTCTAGTCAACTGCGCTATTGCTATGAAGGTAAGATATACATTGTATAATTAATTATCATTTAATTGGGATGACGACAGGGTATGAAAATTAAAAATCTAATTAGTCCGTAAGTTAGGTATTTAAAAAATATTAGACACGTAGTTTTTTATTTTGTTGTATAATAAAACAATACTTAGATAAAACGAATCAGTTTAGGAGTGGGGGCTAAAACGTCATTTCTACGTATAAAATGTACATAGAAGTGACGTCACGCGTAATTTCAAATCAATATATCGTCGAAAGTATTCGTTTCTGTAAGAAAATAAAAAATACGTGTGTAATGATTTAAAATAATCTACCAGACGGACATTAAAATAAAAATTAGGCATCTATCCTATTGTACATGACTCGCATAAAGGTCTTAATCGGCTCATGATCCTTCCTTGTCTCACTTGATGATTATATAGACTTAAAGGAAGGTCTTTGGAGAAACGGCCTGGTGCTGAACATTAGCGCCGTGGGCTCGAGCCTCTGTGCCCTGTCCACGGTATTAAGCTGAGCTTCAGCCTTTTGCGCTGCGCTACACCATGGGCTTTTTGATTTCCTAAATTCTTGTTGTGTGTCGTAGCAAAATAAATTGATTTTCTTTTCTTTTCTTTCATTCTTTCTTTCTCTAAAGTAATTTTAACATAACCATCGTGAGACATACTAAATGAACTAACAATCGCGGGTTAATCACGTGAAAATACTGACGAAAAGCTCTGCTAGTTTCGAGCCATAGAGGGGTTCGTTCTCATGAGCAGCGTGCGCGGTCGCGGAGCCTAGTAGTAGAGTTTTATTCAGTATTTTCACGTGAGTAACCCGCGATTGTTAGTTGATTTAGTATGTCTCACGATGGTTATTTTAAGATTACTTTAGAGAAATACTAAGATGTTATTTCTTTATAAAGACAACTTATGGGTTTTAATACAGATGGGATGAAAGAGGAATAGTTTCTTTTTTAATTGAGAGTAACAATAACAACTCGTAAACATTTTCATAATTATACGTCATCCGTCATCCACTCCCAGGACTACCGCCAAGCAGCCAGGATACTGTCGACGCTGCAGCAGGCGACGACGGCGGCGGGCGCGCGGCGCGGGCTGTGCAGCGCGCAGTGCCGGCTGTGGCTGCTGGCCGGCCACGTGCGCGCCGCCGCCGCCTGCCTCGACGCCGCGCGGGACGCCAGGCATCACATGTCAGTACAGTGTAATTTTGAAAACTGGAGGGTGCCAAATTATAGGAATGTTCAGATTACTGGGTTGTACAGAAAAAGTCATAGGTTATAAATAAAGTAAAGCATTTCATAGAGAGAAGAGAGTAAATGTATTTACATACATTACTGTTTAAAATTAACGTAAGTACATAATATGTAGGTGAGGGAAGTGTGGGCAAAGGGTGCCGGATTATTGGAGGTGCCGATCCATCGAAGTGCCGGATTAGTGAGATTATACTGTACTCATTTTATACATAAATCACTGTATTGTGGTGGCCCGGAGGTTCGAAACCTATCAACGGCAAGTACCAATGTGACTTTATGTACTTTCTAAGGTTAGTTAGACACCACTGACAAACGGTGAAGGAAAATGTCATAAGAAATCTTGGGCTTTATAAGTTTGAAATCGCCAATCCGCAATGAGCAAGCGTGGTGATTAATGCTCAAACTTTCTCCGTTTGAGAAGAGGCCTTTAGTCAGCAGTCAGTTCTAAGTCTCTGTTTTAGGCACAATTTCTAAGATCTTTGCATTTAGATAAGTTTTCTGCTTATTATGGAATTTCTTTCAAAAAAATCTTCATAGATCCACAGATTTCAGTTAGAGACCCGTTTATTAACTCGTCGAGTACCGTCATTATAGACACAATTATAGAACAATAGGTTGCGGTCACCGGTGACCGGTTGGTGTTTGACAGTTTAATTTCGGCCATTTGCACATTATAGCACTTAATGCCACTGTACAATGTAGCACCCACTTTTCACTATTTATGTTATAACTCCCATGTAATAGGGAGTGAACCTATTGCCGGGCATAATTCCAGACTCCGTGCTATTGCTGGAATTTTTTTTTAATAACACAGTAATACTTTGCCTGACCAGGGAATCGAACCCGAGACCCCTTGCCCGGCAGTCGCACTTGCCAATGAGGCACGAGGCAATAAAATAATGTTCTTTTTCCTTTACCTCAGTTGCCCGACTCCTGACGTCCGTGAGTACGTGGATATGGGTCTGTTAGACATAGCCCATGGGAAGTATCAAGACGCATACAATAACTTCGCCAGAGCCGCGGATCAGGAACCCACCAACATTATGGTAAGTATCATATCTATAGCGTGAGATAAAGTTATAACCTACATCTTTAATCATAAGTATTGGACTGTGTATTGCAAATTAAAAATAAATATATATTTTAAAAAAATTACCCGACCATAGACAAACTACCAATAAAAACCTACACCTCCCAAAAAAACCTACAGTAACACTTAACACTTCCTTAGACAAAATAAACTAACCACAAACAATTCAATTTTTTTTCACAGGTCGCAAACAATCTATCGGTCTGCCTACTCTACATGGGGCGGCTAAAAGAAGCGATAGCTGTTTTACAAAAGGCTATAAACTCAGACCCTGAAAGAGGATTAAACGAGAGCCTTTTAATAAATCTCTGTACGCTATATGAACTAGAATCCTCAAAAACTAATGAAAAGAAACTAAATCTGCTAAGAATGCTTTGTAAATATAAAAGTGATACTATACCTAATGTTTTAGAATGTTTGAAACTGTAAATAAATTATTATTGTTGATAAAAAAGACTTATTTTGTTTAATGAAATATAATATTTGAAAGTCTTCTAACTTTGATATGTCAGCGTCAAAAGCCGTCAAAATATATGTGTCAAAGCTGGTACATAATGGCATAGTACGAATTTATTTTACGTTACAAGTACGGCGTTCGGCACTCTGATTGGCCGGCACCAATGAAGTAACCAATCACAGCGCCGAACACGTACTCGTTACGATTACTTTAAACGTAAAACAAACTCGTACTAAGGCCTCTGATTGAGCCGTTTGATTTATTTGTGATGATAAACGCCTGAATACCGAAAAGGTACTAAGTGTAGTTATGTCACTACAAATGCTTTATAAAATGACAGAGAGGGCAAAATATTTAAGTACGACTTAATTGAGTGGCCTTTCAATATTCGTTATTCGGGTGTATATTTCTCATTGAGGCCATTAAATTATTTATTTAGCATGTCCATTAACAAATTAAGCTTATATTTATATTGGCAGCATGTGTTTACGACAATGTGAAAATTGTTATCTATAGCATTAAAAGAGCTGCACAAGAGATTTCAGTTCGATTCCAATTAGATGTATAATAGAAAATGTCATGTTTACGATAAATAATTTTATTATCTATTTTGTATGGAAATATGTATAAAAAAAATTAACTTTTATTTAGTATAATTTTATTTATCTGTGATTATTTTCTCTAGATTATGTCTGTATAATTTAAATTTGGTAATAAGTGTAGCAATAAACTTTTAAAATATTTGTTTTTTTTTTTTCTTTTAAGTCGTTTTCTCTTTACATTCCTATGAATACCTGGTTATCTATACATTTCTCAAATAAATGTGGGTTTTTATGGCGAGAAAAAGGCTGGTATGGAGAGGTCCTATTAACCCAATGTCTGTCGTATTCTTCCCAACCAATTGGCGCCACTGTCGATAGAGATTATGTCAAAGGAAAAAATAATGTCATGTCATCACTTTATTGCATGACTACAAAATCTAAATTTTTTGTATAAAACCAAGTCGTGTAGAACTTAGAACTTTAAAAGTACGCACCTTTCTAGCGAATTGATATATAGATATAAAATTCCAAGTACTTAATGGCATGAAAACCGAGATTTTTTATTTGATAAAGTGATTCACCAGATTCAAGCATGATAAAGTCCGAAAAATAAAACTTTGGGTAAATTCCGCACTTACTAAATATGTAACAATTAACTCTAGTCTAAGTGGTAATTTAGTTACCAAAAACAAGTCATTGATATGGTTACAAGTTGGTTGCAAAACTTACAAGAAGGAAAGACAAACTATAGGCACTGTTGCTGCTCTCTCTAGTCTAGTGCTACAGATGGATTACAAAATTACTAGGTTAAGGTACAAGTTTGCATATTTATTGGGTGGATGTGGTTTCAGCAGGACATTTCTAAATATAAAATAGTTTTCTTACAAAATTTGAATTAACAATTCCAAATGAATTAAAAAGTTTTTGTTTGTTAATTTACATGTTATATTTTACTTTAAATTATAATTAAATATGAAAAACCTCAAAAACAAGAAAAAAATAATTTTGAAACTGATTCTCGGCTGGCTGTATGCGATTTTCTGTGCGTCACTACGGTTTGCGTAAAAAAGTCAAAATAAAACAGCACGCTGCCAACCATAGACAAAAGAGGGAGGAAGTTTGTGAATGATCGATTTTACGCCGGCCTCCTGAACCTCTCAACGACATTTTTCTTTGTTTGCCGTAACGCGTGTGGACAATATCAACTGTAGCCGTGAATCCGCGTACACATCAATAAAATGGCGAACACGTTTCGCGCGGTGACGGTGTCGACGGTGAGTGGCGAGGGCGCACTCACAGCGCGCTTCAATTTTCCTACAAACGTAAACGTGGATTACGACCCGCAAGGGCTGAGTGTAAAAGTGATTCGTGCGGACCCAGTGCTGGCACAGGAGGTGCTTGAGTTTCCCGTGCACAGTCAGAGTGAGTGTTCGCGTGTCGCAGGCCAATCGTACATATTCACGATCGACAATGAAACGCTATTCTTCAAGTTCGCGTCTGACGCCGACTGTCAAGCCTTCCACCTGCTCGTTTCAAAGACGAAGGCAGGCAGGTCATCGTCTGTGTTTACAGTGCGCACGGAAGATTCCTCAGCGATGCAGTACTTCCAGTTTTATGGTTACTTGAGCCAGCAGCAGAACATGATGCAAGACTACGTGCGGACCAGCACGTACCAGCGCGCCATACTCTCGAACATCAATGATTTCAAGAATAAAGTAGTGCTAGACGTAGGAGCGGGCTCAGGTATTCTCTCGTTCTTTGCTGCACAAGCGGGAGCTCGCAAAGTGTACGCGGTGGAAGCCAGTAACATGGCTCACCACGCGCAGGCGTTAGTGAGGGCCAATGGTCTCCACGACCGCATCACTGTAGTCGCGGGCAAGATTGAAGAAATTGAGCTCCCAGAGAGTGTAGACGTAATTATTTCAGAGCCCATGGGCTACATGTTATACAATGAACGTATGTTGGAAACATATCTACACGCCAAGAAGTGGCTGAAACCAAATGGTAACATGTACCCCACGAGAGGAGATCTGCACATAGCGCCCTTTACTGATGATGCTTTGTTTATGGAACAATATAACAAAGCTAACTTCTGGTACCAGACATGCTTTCATGGTGTAGACTTGAGTGCATTGCGCACTGCAGCCATGAAGGAGTACTTTAGACAGCCTATTGTAGACACGTTTGATATTCGTATTTGTATGGCTCGGTCAGAACGACATGTTGTGGATTTCTTGAATGCTCATGAGACAGATTTACATAGAATTGAAATACCATTCAGATTTGAGCTCACACAGTCGGGTACATGCCATGGGCTGGCATTCTGGTTCGATGTTCTGTTTGCTGGTGCCACGCAACATATTTGGTTGTCAACTGCTCCAACAGAGCCCCTTACACATTGGTATCAGGTCCGATGCCTCTTAGAGACACCTATTTTCGCTAAACAAGGCCAAGCACTCACAGGCCGTGTATTGCTACTTGCAAACAAACGTCAGAGTTATGATGTTACAATGGAGATCAATTTAGAAGGCACAAATATCTCGTCATCCAATACTCTGGATCTGAAGAACCCATACTTCAGATATACGGGCGCGCCAGCGGCGCCTCCTCCAGGTGTGAACAGCAGCTCGCCTAGTGAAACTTATTGGAACTCTATTGAGTCAACTGCTTCACTGAGCAATGGACAAGGAGTGATGCTAACTGATGCAACCCAGCAATACTGCTCTACACCCGACCAGACCATTGCTTATGGAACACATCCCAATATGATCAAAACAGTGATGCTACAGGAGGAGTTCATCAAGAGGATCGGAATAAGTCAAAATGGGGACATATAATCCGAGAGGTCGCGCCGAGCGCGCCTTAGGGCAATAAGGAACCGCCGTAATCGGTTGTGAACTATCTTCCGTTCAGACTTTATAGTGTGTAAGCGGACTTATTTATTATAATACATCACAGTGACACAATCATGTAACTAGAGACTCTGCTGGCCTTGTAAATTAAGTAAAAAGTGAAATGGTAATCAAAGGCAATAAGTTTAAGCCTTCTCTGTGAATTGTTTAGTTTTTGGCGGAACCAACGCTTATTAGTGTAATTTAACACACATAGAAAGTGAAATTCTGATGTAAATATTCTATATTGGGAAGTGAATCGTCGAGACTGGCCAGGCTGACCGTCTCTCGAGCAAGGCAGCTCTGCGGCTAGAAATTGTACTATTAATTTAGTCCAAGTACATTTAGGATAAGCAATAAGTGCTGAATTTAAATGATAATGCTTATCATTGTCAATACTCATTTACCATTATTGGAGTCAGGCTCAATCATTAGTTAGGTAGACGCAGCCAGTGATAACCAGTCCAATGATACCTTCTGTCTGCCAGTCAACTCTAGAGATCGCAATTTATGAAAATTTACTTCCGTCAAATATTTTTATACACTGCACTTTAGCCATAGAATGTGTAAAAATAAAAATCCTTTTTGTAAATATAGGATAAAGTGATCAATTCTTTTTCTGGAACATTGATGTTGAGCAAATAATCAGTATTGTATATGTTCTTATTACTTGATAAACTTATGAATGCTATGAATTTTGTACTGTAAGACTTAAACTAGTAATGTGGGTCAGGATCTGCTATTTTTCATTGTAGTAACATTGGTGCTTGATCCTCCATTGCACAAAAATAGATCAGACAACATGACTACCTCATGATTTGGCAGACAATTATTGGATCTCTGAAGTGTGTGCTGAGATTGCAAGCAAAGTCATTTAATTAACTTGTGAACATAAGCAATTACATTTGACACCAAAATAAGTTAGATAAATAAACTGTACTTAGAGTTAGTCATGAGTTTGCTTGCAAAACTCATAGCTTAGAAAATTACATGACAATTTTGTATCATGAAGATCACATTGAGTTGCCATAATAGCTCTGGTTAGAAGTGGAATGAAACATGTTCAGCAATATTAAATAGACTGAAATACTTAAATAAATAATTAATCATTAAATAATATTATGTAAAACACAATTATGTAATAATATTTTCATGCATGTTCAATAAAATATTGATTTGTCTGGAAGCCCACAAATAAATTCTTGATGTTTTTGAATTGATTTTGAACTTATTACCAGAGCAAGAGGATTGAATCAAATTGATGTTTGATCCTAAAATTCTTTATAATAAAAGTGATAATTATTAATAAACCAGTTTCGGAGTAAGTTTTCTTGGATGTAAAACGCAGTTAGATTCTTTTATCAAGTGATAATCAAGGTGTCTAAATAATTCAGTGAGTAGCAAGCTTCGTGTAATTAGCATGTACCCATAAAAGTGCCTAAACAGTTCATTCCTCTTGTATTCAGAGCTCTAGTATTTTTTCCCGTTAGTTTTTCTGGCAACATAAAAAACGTAAGTATCGCGCGGGCGGGGTGATAAAAATGTAAGTGCTTTCAATGTCTTGTAGTTCATCTATATGACTAGGTGCTGTAAAAGGCGCTGTATAATAAATATAAGGTAATTACATATAGCCAACGTTTTAAATAGGGATTTGATTGAGAGACAGTTTTTTACTTAAATTCGATTAAAAATACGTTGATGGATAATACTCCGAAAAAGGCGGGAAAAATTGACAGTCCCTGAATAAAAAAAGTAAGTCATATTTTTTTTAATTATAAATATCGCCTTGGTATAATGGCGATTAGACCTCGTCCCGCGGCGTTGATATTTAGTACCTACGAAGCCAATATCACTTGCCATTTAACGAAATTCACTTTTGTTTTACGAATATCGTAGAGTCTATATTCCCTTGGCTAATTAGGTGTTAGGCCACTAATTAGAATAACACCGATGTTAGATCAGTGAGCTAAAAATGAAAATTTAATTGAAACGAATTGAAATAAATTTGTGTTGATGCATTGGGGCTGTGTGGCGATACTTAATGAAAATATTAACCCTTTAACCGCCAAGATTCTGAACTTTCAACTTACCTCCAGCGCCACGTCACTTTAGGTATAAGTTGGAACAGTGTTGGGAACACTTAATATCGATGCATATATTCTTTATTAATTAAAATCAATGTTTTATTTACCTACTTAATAAATAATCTAAAAATTTTCAATCTTCAAACGAAGTATACGAAAATGTGTATTCGGGAAATGGGCACGGCGTCGTCCGTTCTCCTGCTGGCGACGGTGACGATGCTCCACGAGCATGTCGTATTAAATTTAATAATTTCATGTAAACTTCTGAGCGGATTTCCGACAGTACGGTTTCCAGCTCAAAAGGTTTTAAAGATGCAAAGTATTCATTTCGTGGATCACTTGGTCTCTGATCAAAAACTTTTGCGTCACCATCTTCTAACTTTGCATAATGGACACATTTGGTTTTGACTGTGTTGATTTATTTGAGAAATAACAAAAACCCAAAAAAGGGCTTACAACACTAGTTGCATTGAGTGATAAATGTTTAACGTGATTTTACGGTGACGGCGCTAAGGCAACTCACAATACAGCGCTATAATCTCCTTGGCCGCACGTAATATTACGGTGATGGCGACCGGCGATTGTCCGCACTAGTGCGTTCTGCGTTATGAAATTTTTATATTATTGTTATAAATATTAAATAATTTTAAACTTAAATACATTTTATTTAGTACAAATACTTGCATCAAAGTAACACTATGGTTATTTTCTAATGAAAGTATACACTTTCATTGCAAATAGTGACAGTAATATCTATAGTGCCTTGTTTGTTCTTAGACAACCTATTAAGTATTTTTCGAATTTGCCCCATCCCTAGTACTCGTAAAATTACGTGATTGGCGATACAGATAATGGAGACGGTGACCACAATTTAATTAAACCTCAAATTTCACAGTATTTATCACTCAAAACATTGAGAAATATCCATAACAATAAATATTATACCCTACATCTTGAAATTGACACATTTTATATGGAGTTTGTGCACTATAAGAAGATTTTTAATAAAGTAACGTGATTGTACGTATGTGGCGATTCGGACACAGCTTTCGAAAACCGTAATATTACGTTGTCGGCGGTTAAAGGGTTAAGAGATGACTAAGCTCACGACGGTAAATGGTTGAGGAATAGGTAGATGTAAACTTCTTATGACCGTTTTCATGAACCACCTCCCAACTTGCGTGACCTCTTATAATATTAAGTGTGACTGTAAGTTGGAGAAAACCAAACTGTTGTTATGTCACCTTTCTTAACTTAAGGGTTTATTAAAATTTAGGGAGAGGTTTGTGAGAACAGCCATTATATAGTTTACTAATACGAAGTGATATTACTGAAATTATCAGTTATTCGTGTATCATAGTTTAGTTCACTCGGTTTAGAATAAGATAATAGTCTATTGTATGAATAACGGTCTAATGACTGGCTTAAGAACGTAATTTTCTAGGTAAACCTTGTTTGGTGAGCCGAAGCTTAGGTGATTATGCTAGATAATTAGTACCTATCGTTTCATATAACTTTTATCAAGTGTATTTATCCTTATACATAATTAAAGGAAGGAAGCGGTTATTTATAAACACTGCCAGATAACTAATTAAAACTATAAAATACAGCCCACTCAAAAGACAAAGACCAGTACGTAAAGCAACCTCATTCTGTCGAATTCTTTTATAACAATTTCAGCCTTATTATTAAAAAAATATAGTTGGAACTCTATTTAAAAATGTTTGACTGTAACGGGTAGTTTAATGTGCTGTGTAACCACCTCTAATTGCTCTAGAAAGTACTAATTAAATTTTCATTTCTAGCAACACCTAAAAATACAGATAATGTATATAAGAACAATTTGTAACGTTTTCGTTTCGTTCGTTTTTTTTTCTATAGCATCACGGTTGTGTATTTGAATCATTTGTATATAAAGCATGTGTGTAGAAAATAAAGGAATTTTATGGGTTCATTTGATTTTTGCTTAATATTCTAACTTACTATAATCTGTCAATTTTTTCGTTGGATTTTCGACTTTATACCAAAACAACTAAGGGAGTAGGCTGACCTGCTGGCGTCTGTCTGTACTTACATCATCAGCAATGGTCTCATCAGATAATAACAAACTAAATTTCAAATAGCTTTTATAGATTTTAAACCTTATCACTGAGGTGTAAGGTCGAAAGTCTATTGAAGAAATATTTTACTCGCAAAACAATGAATAATTTTTGCATAATTCAATTTTAATCATTCAAACGATTTAAAATCAGAGTTTAAATGTCTCCATAAAGTTACTTTATTTTCAAAATTATCGAATCGGTCAATTTTTGCATGCTAAATAAATAAAATCGTATGCGGTATTTTAACTCTTTGGATGTTAACGTAATAGTATTTAAATGTTTCCAATCTAAATACGATATTATACATATGGGAATTAGGGTTCAATTCATATTAGCATAGTCGAAGTGCATAGAAAATTTAATCAGAGATGTCAAAGCAAATTCACCCTTATCTCCGCCCAGTAAAGCACATTTTCCTTCAGCCGTATAATAGACGCACGAACTCTATCGGATGCGCGCGAATCCGAGCGTCATGTTTTTATGTACAAAGGAAAATGTACGTTACGTAGTATTGTTAAGGGTGAATTTGCTACGACGAAGTTATAAATGATGCTTTGATATGAATTATGTCAAAATATTCGCCATATAATCTGTGAAATGTGCTCCGTAATAGGGAAGTCTGTCTTCCAAGTCGATTATACTTTGTAATGTAATAATTTCATAATTCATTCAAGAGTTAAAAGACTGTTGTAAAATGGAGGCAAGTTTTGACAGTTTTGAAAGATGATATGAGTATGTTTTGCTACCTTATCAGTTTTAAATGTGAATTAATTGAAGTATACGGCAAATTCACGCCATTTTGCGCGTCGTCGTGCGGTCGCAAATCGTATGGGTGTCACTTTAAACTAGTTGAGCGTTTGCTTCGATTGTTTTCGAGAGTTAGCCGTATATTTCAATTAATTTAGATTTAGTCAGATGCAGAAATATAAGGATGAATTCGCACCAGCTACCTAGGCTATTGTGCAAGATGTCAATTATTCGAACTCTCGAAGTAAGGTCGATCGCGGTCCGCCATGGAATGGAATGTAAGAATTATCTCGACCAATGACGGGCGAAAATGCGATGGAGCTCTCATCGAGAGTTCGAAATAGCCAAAATGGACGCTTCTTAATCGTATATACTTTCCAAACTTTCAAAATTTGCTCCAAAATCGTTTTATTTTGTCGGAAATCTGTATGACAAGGATAGAACAATTTATGTTTCACTCGTTTTGTTTTCGAAAATTATGTTTTTCAATCGATCGTTCCTATAGGTACTGTAGAAGTGAATTGAGGAAAAGTTTAAATTTTGAAATTATTGCTTAAAGTCATAGTTGTAAGTTATTTAGTGGTTCACGTAAGTTTAATATAATAAATCTTTGCGATCTCCAGTGATATAAAAAGGTCGTATCTAATTTTTCCCCTGTGTCGTAGGCCTACTGTCCACTACGTGTCATTTGACGAATGTGTGCAACCTACAAAAGACGATAGGTTACCTGCAAATGACAAACGCTTGCATCTTGCTAAGAAACAATGAAAACTGTCCACAAAGCGGCAACGTTACGTCACACACGCCTCATACAAATCCGCCTACCGTCATTTATAGAGTGCAAGTCTCAAATGACGCTTTGTGGACAGCAGACCTAAGATGTGGAATTTAATTATTGTCACAAAATTTCGGTCCGACTTTCAACAGTTCACTTCTACAGATAAATAAAAGTGGGTGCAGAATTACTTGGAGTTAATCTTAGGATCTTTTTAACACGTTAAACGCCATGGGGGTCACCGATGACCGGCGTTAGCGAAGGATTTACCTTCAACAGTTTTTTATTGGCAGTCAGTCGTTTATAGCATGAAAGAAGTAGTCTCAAACATCCCATAAACTGTTTAAGTCACTGGTCAAGATAAAATACAGTCTTGAAAATAGTGGCTTGATTGTAAGCAATAATTAACTTTAAGATGAACATTCTTGGGTGTATTTTCGAACACGGTTACTGTCCCAGAACTACTCTTATGCTATAAATCCATGACCTTAAGTATCTCTTCACATTGTCCGGTTACTGGGAAGTCGGTTTTGAGAGAATGGGCACGTAAAACTATGCAAAACTAGTATAAACTGACCATCGAGTTTGCGGAAATATCTTACAAAGCGAGGCCACGATATACTGGATTTGTATTGCTCGATTAGTTCGTGAGTTACAGGCCTAGTGTACTTAATAACTAATCTAAATCCAGAATGTTTAGACCGGTCTGGCTTTTTGACAGAACCTCAATAGAATTATTGCCAAAAACTGAAAGGAACATTAATTATTTTGAAATCTAATGGCTATAACACTTCACCACCAAGTACTGGGCATCAGATACTCGGTAACCGGATAATGTGAAAACTCCTAAAGCTCTTTAAATAAGTATTACCTACATATTTTTCACAGCACGTCCATATTAGTTTGTGTAGAATAAAATCAATGTGAAAAATGTACTCCTAATTTTGTATTACGGTGACAATTCAATACTTAATATGAATATAAAAAGTTTGGACGGCAATTTTCGGTAATTATATCAGATAATTCTAATCTATAATGTCGTTTGATTGTGTATTTTAAGCCCCCGATCCTTAGCCATAAATATTGTAAGCCCCGTTTTTGCTTTTTAAAATTAAACGTTTTAAATGAGCGGTTGTATCGTTAGGCACTCATAGGTACTATTAGGTACTGCTGGACTATATTGGCCTCTTCTACATAAGAGGGTTGGTCATAATTTCAATTCTGCGCGAATTGGAGATCGTAGCCTAAAAAGTTCAGGTGTATCAAAGAACGTTAATTTCTGTTCAAATATGCAGTCCCTAAATTGGCTCTTACGACGCGACACTCTCAGGAAGCGTAGAAGTGGTGATAATTTGATAAAAGTATTCTAGTCTATCGTCACCAGACGTTTACCTAAATATCTATATAAAGTTCTTTAACATAGGTATTATGATATATCTCGATTCTCGAGAGAATCACGATAATTATAGCGACCAGGCAAGCTACGTTTGGCCGTCAGCCAAGTAGCCGATTTCATAGATATTAGGTAAACATTTTAAAAGCTATATAGGTACTTAGTACCTAGGTGTTTAGGTGTAAACATAATCTGCAATCAGATACTGTACCTTTATCTAAATGGAATTATCTGATTAATTTTCAATTGTTTGATAATATTTTTATGGAAGATTATTGTACCTACTTTCACCTTGAGCACGGGTCATTAATGAACATGATCATTCCTTCTTTTCCATGTAAATCGCGGAATATCAGGGCGAACTAATGATAGTTCCGGTATATGGTGATAGTCTCAATGTTCAATAAATTTTTGTGAGACATACTAAATTATTTATTATGTTTTCCGGCTCATTGACATAATTATTTGATTCCGCAACCCTGGTTCTGCTCACTGCTTTTAGTATGGCTTGAAACTAGTCGAGTACCTCGTCAAATAATTACGTGAGTGAGCCGAAGAACATAATACTCAATTAATTAGTCCAATCCATTGATTGATTCAGCCATCTTTTACGGAGAGTCCTCAAAAATGATTGCATAGTCCACAAATGTCCACAATGAGGTTTTAATTTGCTGACGTAGCTCAGTCTGTACTCGTATTTCTATACCTACTTTAATTTATTGAGAGTTATTATTAGAGATTAGAGTTTGTTTGTCTGAGCGCGCTAATCTCCAGAACTACTGATTTGAATTGTGTTGTGTGGGATAGTCCATTTATCGAGGAAGGTTATTGGCTATGAACCATCATGCTATGACCAATAGGAGTCGAGCAGTGGGTGAAATAGCGCTGTAGTAGCTAATAAAATTTATTATAGCGACATCATTCTATGTAATGCGTAGGTATGCAATGCTTTTGACTTTTAGGAAAAATAAGCGTTATGACTGTAGGCGTATGCAAATTAATAACTCCTTGGGGAGATAAGGGTGTGGTGTTACTAAAAATAACTAGTACCAAGTCTGAGTAGGTAATTCATTGAAGTGAATCATAAAAGGTCAAGTTAGCTATGTTGCTAATTTTAGTACCTAGATATAGGTAGGTGAAATCGACAAAGTCGACGGTCGACTTTGTCGATTTTACGTTACGTTACGTTATCATAAGGCGATATTCTATTTATCACAGGAAAAACGGGACAGTGGATAGCGAGTTTGAAATAAGATTTTGTTTAAAAACTGTATTGTGTACCGTAAACTTTGTCGATAGTACTTTATTATTTGAACAGTCAGAAATTTGAGAGATTTGTGGTTTTTCCACTCTGAGTCTGGACCTGTCCGCTGTCCCGTAACCTCCATCAATAGGCTCACTTCTTTTTACGTGGGACTCATAACATAACTTAGGAAAAGAAGTTGTTTTATAGACCAAATAGATACTGTAAAAAGTGTTCAACGTCTTAAGTACCTAGATAAAAAAAAACCAGTCTGCAGAGCCCAATTATCCCTAAGGCAATCTAGGCAGCCGCGGAGGACTTAACCGGTTGCCGGGTCGAAGGGCAGTAGTAGGAACGGGGTGGTTTTTAGTCAGTAAGAGTCTGACACTGCCTCCCGCTTCACCTGGGCGGGAGAAGTTATTCGATGATTTTCCCCCCTTAAAAAATGGAAATCAGGCCAGGGTCGCCTGTTACATAAGGGCTCCGTGAGAGCGATCTCAACTTAGTGGCGCCTATGAGGTGCTTGTCTAGGGCGCTCTTTAGTTTTAGTTCACCTCTGCCTGCTGTCTAGATTAAATTGTAAATACGTGTACAAAAGAGAGTGGCAGTCAGTACCTTTAACAGTAGGTAGTGTACATTTTTCAATGCAACAACAGCGTCTTTATGTTGACACAATACCTACGTCTTGTGATCGTTTAGGCTTTGTGCACACGTTGCAACAACCGTGGCAGTTCACTGGACTATGGACCTTATTTATAGGCAGTTTTCTATAATCTTTAGTTCTTCACGCTTAGCAACTGGGTTGGAGATAGTAATTTAAAATATTTAGGTTTATCAGAGAGTGGTGTTGCTTGGTCCCGGTGAAGACTCTGATAGAAGGTTGAACTTGAACTTATTCACTCTGTCTTCAAGGCCCGAGTGAATAGGTTGCTTATAGGACGACGTGCTCTATCGTAGACCGCATCATCGCTTACCACCAGGCGAGATAGTGGCCAAACATCAGCCCGACGAATATTAAAAAAAAAAGTTTTCTGTTAGACGTAGGTACTTCTTATTTTTGGCTCTAAAGATTTTTTTACGGCATAAGCCGGTAAACGAGCAGATGGATCACCTGATGGTAAGCAATCGGCGTCACCCATGGACACCTGGAACACCAGAGGCGTTACAAGTGCGTTACCGGCTTTTTGGGGATTAGGAGTTTGAGGATTGTTGGGGATTCAGGGATTGGGGAGATTGGCCCATCAAATATAAGTATAAAAAAAGAAGGAGTGGAAGAAAAGGATATTATTTATTTAAGTTCTTATTTATTTATAATTTGGACAATCAGTAGTTGTTACATTAGGTCTAACATCTTCTAACATATTTTTTTTAAGGGGGGAAATCATCGAATTACTTCTCCTGCTTGGGTCAGGCGGAAGGGAGTGTCAGATTCTTAATGACTATAAACCACCCCGTTCCTTCTCTTGCTCTTCGAGCCGGAGCCCCGGTAACCCGTTAGGTTCTCCGCGACTCCAAATCGGCATCGGCCCTGTTGGGTCCCATCTGTGGTGGTCTCATGGCTCTTTGAGGCGCGCGCGGAACGCAACGCGCCGTACGCTCGGGTCTGTTTCTGGTCGGACGGGGAGCCACCCACCCATGCTCGCCGTGCGCAGGCCCGCGCTTACGGTGGCCGGAGATCGTAGTGGAAGGAGGGTAGGGAGGCCTTTGCCCTGCACTGGGATAACCATGGCTAAAGTATAATTAATTATAACCTAAACCTCGTATATTAGGAAGACGATTAAAATGTCCCGAATGTGTAGACAACCTTAGAATACAAGTGTGGATACGATTGATTTACAAACATATGAAAGAGACAATGCTGAGACCCAGTACAATACCAACATAGCTTTCATAATATACCATCACACCTATTTGTTAAACGAGTAGGCTGAGGTGCTCAATTGCTCATTAAATACATAACATAACCTAACCCTTTACCCTCGTAGGGAAGTAGACAGAGGCACCCACTTTTCACTATTGATGTTATGAGTACCATGTAGTAGTGGGTGAGCCTATTGCCATATACCGGGCATAATTCTAGACTCCGTGCTACTACTGAGAATTAAAAAAAAGACAGATTACTGGGTTTTTTAAAGGTTTGATTCGAGATCCAAAGCCCAATTTAGGTATACAAGTGTTTTGAGTCATGCAATAAAATAGAATCATGAAATAGTAGATGAGACTACTTTATTACTATGATTTTTAACGGTACACCACTTTCCATTCTATTAACCTACTGAGAAATTATCGAAATACGCGAAACGCGCAATTCCATTTCTAATCTCGAACGTTTGGCGTCTAATTCTGAATATGCACTTACTTAATTCAGAAAGATCGAAGTTAACACTATTTACGAGCTCACTCATCAGATATAGGTTCCCCCTCATGCCGCGGAGGACTTAACGGGTTGCCGGGGCTCCGGCTCCAAGTGTAGGAATAGGAACGGGGTGGTTTTTAGTCAGTAAGAGTCTAACAATCCCTCCCGCCTCACCGGGATGGGAGAAGAAATTCGATGATTTTCCCCCCCAGGGTACATTGTGGTCTGGTATAACACATAGACAGTCGACTGTTTTTTCTGTCACGGGAACGCGGGCAAAGCCCGCAGCAGAAGCTTATAGAAATATATTGTACTAAAAATATAATATCTTTCAGATCAGAGAATAAAACGAATGTAATGTAAAAGATAAACATTAAACAATCTTCGTTGTTATTTTATTTACGTAATGCACTGACATGCGATGACTGGCTGATATTTTTATACACACACAAGGCTTCTATTTATTATCCGCACCTATTATAATTACAAAGTTAAAGGTATGCAGTATGTTTTTTTATATTATTTCCCATCATTTTGTTTGAGGAGCGAAAATCATATAATGACTTCTCTCGCCTGCGTGAGGCAGGATCAAACTCTTACTGACTAAAAACCACCCCGTTCCTACTCTTGCACTTCGAGCCGGAGTCCCGGCAACTTGTTACGTCCTCCGCGGCTACGTAACAATTTAAAACATGGATCTGCAATGTTTTATTTATAATAATATAAGCCTTTATTGCCGTTTAACAACTAATGTAACAAAAAATTAAAAAAAATATGAAATTTAACTAAAATCTTAAACTTCGGCATTCTGTTGGTTTTCCTTATTATTAACAGCTTGTCTTTCGACAAAGGCTTCCTCTAAGGCTTTCCACTTGTCCCTGTCTTGTGCTGTGCGTGCCATCCTGGACCTGCTATTTGCTTGATATCGTCCTCTCATCGCAATGTTTTATTATAAAGTAGCTATTCCTGCACGTTCCACCTCCTGCTCCACCAACCTGCCGCTTTTATAGCCTTCCTCGATAAACATCTACGACTATATCTAACACAAAAATAATTATGACTATGACCGCCTCGTTGGCCGAGTGGTCGCAAGTGCGACTGCCGGGCAAGGGGACTCTGACTCGAATCGAACCTTTAAAAAACCCAGTGATCGGAGTTTCATTGGATAAAAACAAGAAATAAATTTCATTTAAAAATGATTTATTACACATTTTATAATAACAGTAATTATCTACAAATTGTATCATCTATTTTTTCTTAAACTTCTTCTGTAATTGAAGTAGCGGCGCGTTCTTACTTTTTCGTTTTTCTTTCTTCAGCTGGCCCGATTCTAACGCATTTTTCATTACCTGTGAAATAGACAATATAATTATTACTACTATGCTTGTAATTTTTTTAAAGGTTCAGCAGGGATATTGTACAATATTTTAAAGAAATCAACCTAGTTATGCAGGTAACGAAATTAAGATGATTTTTTTATGTAGATTGCCTCGTTGGCCTAGTGGTCGCAAGTGTGACTGCCGAGCAAGGGGTCTTGAGTTCGTTTCCCGGGTCGGACAAAGAATTACTGGTTTTTTTTAAAGAAATTCTCAGTTGTAGCACGGAGTCTGGAATTGTACCCGGTATATGGCAATAGGCTCACCCCCTATTACATGGGACTCATAACATAAACAATGTAAGAGGGAACATTTTAAAATTAATAGAATCATACCTGAGTAATAGACTCCAATGCACAGAAATCTCTAGGATATGCCCAAAGAGTAAATTGGAGACAATATTTATGTCGAAACCAAGACTCGTAAAATATGGCGTCCCCCAAGGCGGCGTACTAAGTCCGCAACTCTTTTTAATATATATTAACGATCTACCAGAGGCCACAAATAGTAAAATGGTCCTTTTCGCTGATGACAGTACAGCTATTGTAAAGTGTAATAACCCTGATAATTACGTAAATGACATTAACACTTCTTTGTATAATATAGTAAATTGGCTCAATAATAACAACTTGATTATAAATCTGCAAAAAACTAAAATTATGCATTTCTATCAACGCACTAAAAATCCTACAACCAATGTTGTCGTTAATGGTTGTGACGTTGAAGACACGGACACGACTAAGTTTCTAGGTATAACGATAGATAAGCAGTTGACATGGAAACCTCAAATGGAAGTACTTTGTAAAAAATTAAACAAATCCGCATATGCACTATATCAACTCTCAAAGAAAGTTAACAACCAAGCACTCCTGACGGCATACCATGGACTAGTTGCATCGGTTCTGCGGTATGGCATTATTTTCTGGGGTCACTCCACCGACAGAGAGCAGGTATTTAGGTCACAAAAACGATGTATCCGATCAATGTGCGGCCTAAAGGTAACGGACAGCTGTGTACCCTATTTTAAGTCTTTAAAAGTTTTGACCATGCCTTGCTTATATATTTTGGAGACTGCCTTGTTTGTGAGGTGTAACCCACATCTATTCTTAAAAGTTTCGGAGGTCAAGAGGAA